GGAAAGCTGGTTATCTCGTTCTTGTTCAATAGTTACTTAATCGTCGGATGCAAATTTTTCATTGCAAATAATAATTCCTCGGCTTCCCTTAGGTTGTCGAAAATCGCGATAACATCATCAACATATCGTCTGTAGAGTGTTGTCTTGTTACATTTTGAGGATACTTTTTCTTCTAAATGGCCCATAAATATGTTAGCAAAGGTTGGTCCTAGTGGGCTTCCTATGGCGACTCCGTCAAGTTGTCGATACAATTAGCCATTAAACAGTAATCTGACATCCTTTGTACACAGTTGTAATAAGCCCCGTAGTATTTGAGGGGACAGGCGAGTGCCGGAGGAATAACCAAAAAGAACGTCTATGGTTTCATCCAGGGGCACGTTGGTAAATAATGACTCAACGTCCAATGATATCATGTATTTATCGGAAATATTATGGTGCCTAATTTCGTCGATGAAATGAAAACTGTCTTTTAATGTATAAGTGGAAAATCTCTTGCGAATTGGCTCTTATTCATTTACTTGCTAATGCGCTAGTCTATGAAAAATTGAGTTATACACGGAAAGAATGGGTCTTAAGGAGATACCCTTTTTATGAGTTTTTGGTAATCCGTATAGTCGTGGGATAACGGAACCTCTACGTTTTAGGGATAGAACAGTTTTGGTATCGTCAATTGGTCATACCAATTTTCGATCCCGAATGACCTCAGATTTGAACTCACAGCTGGATGATAATTTCACCGAATGCCCTGTCGATTTAGCCCTACATCCTACTACTGCCAGCACTCTAAATCATGTGAGCTTGTGGTTCACTTACCAGCACTGGTTGTAGGACAGAGCGTAGAGCGTAAGTCTTAAGCTCTCTCATGGACGCTCGTATGTTCATGAACAAGTAGCATTCAGCACGCATTCCCGCCTAAATCTAGGGCGGCTGGCATGCCCTTTTATAGATTATTTGCCATTTTCATCAGCCAGTCTTAGGCCGGTCTTACGTCATCAGTACATCGTTGCCTCTACCTGTTTCTAGCGTTCGTTTATTTCGACCTGCCGATTTTCTTGTCTTCGTTCACCAGGTTGATCGCGAAAAACGAAGGCGTGTTCTTGAGGAAGTAATCCTTGCAAACGGCCCAGCCGACGCTACCGTTCGCATTAGGTGGACGTCTGAAGGTGATGTCGAGGTTTACGGAACTGATATCTACATGTCTGTCGTCGAAATCGCCATGTGCTCTGGTACTGTTTTAGTTCCACGCTTCCGGAGTAATGATGAACTACTGCTCACTTTCGCCTCACCAAGGTAAATAAAAAAATCTAATCCGTCCTTTTGGATATCGTTGTTTTTTAGTTTATTTTGCATTCAATTTTTTTTTCTATTCCACCGCCCTCTGGAATTCAGTGAGGCCGTTGAGGCTGTACGCTGTCTAAACGGCAACAAGGTCTCCACCGAAGCGGGCTCGAAGGGCAAGATCGTCAACGTGAAGCTGTCAGTTTGTTTGGACTCCGCCCCCGGCTTACAAGTGCGTCACCCGGCTCCAACAACTTTCCAGGATCAGCTGAATATCTGCGCAGATGAACCCTCTGCTCGTAGCTGGCTGACTGAAATGAACAATATCGTGAAGATCTCGGAAGAGAACTACCTCCGCACCCATGGTCCTGACCCAGCTATCAGTGTGTTCAAACCGCGCCCTCGCCGAGGCTCACCTA